ACTAGGAAGGAATAAATGAAATGGTCTTTGTCTGCAGATGATGTAATTATTTTTGTAAAATGTTTCAAAGAAAAGCAAAAAAAAAAAACTTCTGGGAACTAGTAAGTGATTATAACAAGGGCTTCAGGATATAATATCAATATTTAAATGCCAAATGCTTTTGTTTTTCATATATACCAGCAATGAACAATTAGAATTTGAAATTTAAAACAAACTCTATATATTAACACCAAAAAGAAGGAGAAGGAAGAGAGGAGAAGAAAGAAGGAAAGAAAATAAAGAGAACTAAATCTAAAAATTATACACAATAGTTATATGAGGAAAGCCACAAAACTCTGAGTTATGAAATGAAAGATATAAATAAAATAAATATTTTCTATTTATGGATGGAAAGAATCAATATGGGTACAATGTCAGTTCTTCCCTACTCCATCTATAGAGTCAATGTAATTACAGTAAAAATCCCAGGAAATTACTTTGTGGATATTGACTGACTTATTCTACAACCTACATGGAAAGTCAAGTAGTCCATAAGAGCCAAATTAGTAGAACAGAGACAGAGCACTGACAGCACTGAACTTGAAAACTTAGTTTAAAGTTGCAGTGATCAAGACAGTGTGGTACTGGTGAAAGAACAGAAAAATCAGTGGAGCAAACTGGAGAACCTAGAAATAGATCACTATAGATATAGTCAGCAAATCTTTGACAATAGGACAAAAGCACTTCATCAGTTAGTCTTTTCAACATATTGACCTGGAGCAGCTGTAAACCAACCATGTTAATTAGGATTCTTTGGAGAAAGAAAAGCAGTAGGAAATTTATAAATATACAAAAGGAGATTTAATATGCAAATTTATATGCAATTATGGAGGATGAGGGGTCCCATGCTATTCTGTCTACAAGCTTGAGAACTAGGGAAGCTGATGATATAATTAAGTCTGCGTCTGAAGACTTGGTGACATGTGAATGTAACTGTCAGAGCCAAAAGCCTGAGAACCTGGAGCTCTGATGTCTGAAGGCAGGAGAGAATGGATGCCTCAGTTCAACAAGAAAGAGACAATTCACCTTTCCTCCACCTTTTTGTTCTATTTGGGCTCACAGGGGATTGAAAGATGCCACTAATCCCATCTCTATTTAGTGTATTGATTCAAATGCTAATCTCTGTGGAAACATCTTCATGCACACACTTCAAAATAATGTTTTACAAACTAGCTGGGCATTCCTTAGCCCTGTCATTGACATATAAAATTAATCATCAGTCCCACATGCAAAAAAGTGAATCTAAACATAGACTTTTCATCTTTCACAAAAATTAACTCAAAATGAATCATAAACCTAAATGCAAAATACAAAACTATAAAGCTTCTAGAAGACAACAGAAGAAAATTCAGGTTACCTTATGTGTAGACGTGAGTTTTAAAATACAATATTAAGAGCACAGGATATGAAAGAAAAACATATAAATTAGACATTATTAAAATTAAGAACTTCTCTGTGAAAGAAACCACTCAGAGAGTGAGAAGGTGAGCCACAGATAGGGGAAGTATTTGTAAAACATAAATCTAATAAATTTTTTCCATGTAGAATATAAAGAATTCTTAAAACTCAACAATAAGAATACAGCTCAATTAAAAATTGAGCAAAAGACCTGAAAAGACACTTCACCAAGGAAAGTATAGAGGGTAAATCAGTGTACAAAAAGATGCACAATACCTTATATCTTTAAAAAATTGCAAACTAAAATAATAAGAGATACCAGAATATACCTATTAAAAACACTATCTACTGACAGCTTAAAATGGTGGTGATGATGTGGACTAACAAGAATTCTCATTCATTGATATTTGGCATACAAAATGCTACAACTATTTTGGAAGACAGTTTGACAATTCCTTAGAAAGCTAAACACAGTGTTACTATGTGATACAAGATTGTGCTCCTAGATATTCGCTCAGATGAGTTGAGCATTTACATCCTTACAAAAATCTGCACATGAATGATTAATAGCAGCTTTATTCACAATTTCTAAAGGTGGAAGGAGCCAAGATGTCCTTAGGTGAATGGATTAAAAAAACTGGTACATCCTTACAATGCAGTATTATTTATGATAAAAAGATGATAAAACACGGCGGACACATTATGAATGAGACCTGAACATAAAAGGCTACATTTTCTATGATCTTGTGGAAGGCAAAACATAAAGATCAACAAAGATTAATGGTGCTAGGGAGCTCAAAGAAGAGGGTGGACAAGGAATAAAAGATGGAGCACAAGATTTATTGGCTTTTTCTATATTGTAGTACATGCCTTATGCATTTGTCAAATGCATAGAACTGTAAACGAGTGACCCTAATGCAAGATGAAGGACTTTAGCTAAATAAAAGCATATTCACTCATCAATAATAACAATAAACCATATTAATACAAGATGTTAATAAGTAGGAAACTGTGAGTGGTGGAGTCAGTACATGAGCTCTGTGTAATATTTGCTCAATTTTCTGTAAACTGAAAACAGTTCTTAAAATAGTCTATAACTTTAAAATGTTGTGAAAAGACTGAAAATAGTGAAAAATAATGAAAAAGCAATATAGAAAACACTTGTTCTAACTATGCAGAAGTAATGTTTTATATTATTTGCTTCAAGATTTCTTCCTTTTAAATAATGGAAATGAAATATTATAGTTAAAGTGCCCCTTGACTCCCCAGTTCTATTCTCTTTCCAAAGGAAACCACTATTATTATTATGCATTCTTGAAGTCTCTCTTTTATATTATATATATATATATACACACATGAGCAATGAATTATATTACTGTGTTATTTTTCAGATGTTTAAAGCAGTATATAAATTGCATCAAAGTATAGAAGGATTTTGCAGTTTTCATTTTCCACCCAATTTAATGCTTTAAAATAGGCCCATGTGTTAGATATAGATCTAATTTTTTATTTAAATTGTAGGAACATATTATTTTATACTGTATATATGTTATACCATGTCATTTATCACTTTCTCTATTTTTGAATATTCAGATTATTTGGAGTTTTATGTTACCACAGTTAATGAAACAATGACATTTTTGGCAATATATAAGAGAACATGAGTAGGAGTATTTTTAGGGTTGTACTACAAATTGAATTGCTGTGTTGTAGGGTATGTCAACTCTCAATTATTCTGTCTTCTGACAAAATGCTTGGCAAAGTAGTGATGCCTGTTTACAACATTATTGCTAGTATTAATTAAGAACTGAGGCTCAGAGAGGTTAAAGGACATAGCCCAAATCACCCCACAAGGGTCAGGATTAGTACAAGAACCTGCATGTAGCACTTTGTGACATATTGAGTCTGACTCTTGTGTGGCTTGGATGATTCAAGGGTGCACTGAAATGAGCACCTGGGTCTTAGTTGGGGAAAGGAGATTGGCAATATTCAGTTTCCTCCAGAGCATCCTTGTATAGCATAGAGAAAGTAATCCAAAGAGGTTTCCCCTGAACTGAGAGGCCCAGAACTCAGGGAGATGAGGAAAAGGAAATCTGGGCCAAGGGGAATCCTGAAATCTACTTTCAAGAGTTTTCTTGGACCAAATATTAGATCCACAACAATGACTTTGGTCTGTCCCTTCATTATTCTGTTCATGGTACAACACATTTGAACAAAGAGCTAGTTGCATAATTAAAAACTCACATCACTCAAGACTGATTTTCCACAGCCCTGACCAAAACTGAAGGTGACTTGTATTTATTAGTCAGAGGTGACTCCACCATGTAGCAACAGTGCAAACAAAATTTGCAATGTGATTCGGGTTGGTATTTATGTGACTGAGCAAAGCTAAGCTGTTTTCAAAATAAACCTCAAAATGTCAATGTCTTATCACAATTAAGTGTTGCTTCTTTCACAATCTGAAGCATGCTGTTTGCTCATTCTCTGTGCTGAAGAGATGCTGTGCCAAGGTTGCCAAGGCAGGAGAAGAGAGAGATAAAGGAATCACATACATTTAACTGATTTAGACTGGAAGTGACATGTACCAGTTCCACACTCAGTCCTTTAGCCGGAATTAAAACTATGGTTTCAATACAACTGGAGGAGAGGCTGGGAAAGTGTGGGGAGATACACACTAATTATCTGATGAACACTAATGGTTGCTGTTACAAGCTTCATCCTGTATAGCTCTCTTAGACTAACAAAAACATCATTTTTTTTTTTCATTTACAAAATCGGAGAACAGGAGGGTGGAGCAAGTCTTGCCTGGGGTTGGGGATTGGTACAAGTGGGAGGGGGGAGGAGGTGGGGAAAAGACATAGGAGGGTGATTATAGTGCAAATACTGTGTACATATGTATGTAAATGGAAAAATGATACCTGTTGAAACTATTTCAGGAATGGGGGAAGGGGAATAAAGGAGAATGAATGGCAGAGGGGGTGAAGTCAAGTGTGATATATTTGATACATTGTAAGAACATTTGTAAATGCCACAATAAACTCCCACCCAGTCCAACAATAAAAAATTGCTAGGAAATTTCATATCATTTCATAAACGACTTCATAAAATTCATAAATTTAATTTCATAAAATTTAAACATAAAGGTCAAATTTCATGTTACTTTAAAAAATATGCTTAAAAGTGTAGTCTATCTTTTTAAGAAATTCTTTTGTACATTTTGTTAAAAACCATAAAACTTTTGCTTAGTAATTGTGAGATCCTGACAAATCATTGAACGTCTCTAAACTGGTATCTCAACTGAAAATGAAATAATAATCTTTCAATCATGGGTATGTAATAAAAATTATGTTAGAGATTGCCTGTAAAACCTTGACATAGTACGTATTACATGGTAAGTTGCAATTAATGTAAATTTTAATTTTCATTGGCATTGTTGATGTTATAGTAGGATCTACTGGGTCCTGACAACCATGAAAAGATAGTTTACTTTGTTGGGACAAAATGTCTTACCCAGTTCCAGAAATGAAATGTCTATCTTGTGCATATTCTTATCTTTATAGGTCATGGGTGATTTCCCAGGTCATGCTCTTGCTGGATCCTTCTTCTTTATCATGGGTCTTTGGTGGAGTACAAAAAGTATTCTGATGCATGTCTGCAAAAAGCAAAAGCGGGCCTGCTTCCTTGGTTCCAAAGCATTATTCCATAGATCAGAAATTTTGGAGGGAATGGTAATAGTTGGCATGGTTTTAACTGGTGAGTGGACCATTTTTATGTTCTGTTTTCTCCTGTTGTGTACTTTCCTGTGCATAGAGACGATCCCATACAAAAATCAAGAAATTACTAAAAGTAATTTCATATAAAATAGCTCTTATACATATGTTAAGTATAATTTCCATCTGATATAACTTGTTAGGAAGGTAATAATTCTTGTTTATACAAAGGACAATTCCTTAATGAATTAGTCATAGTATTGAATTTGTTTACTCTATCAAGAATAATTTCCTTTTTAGAATTAGTTGGAGCCTCTGAAAAGAGAGCCTCTGAAAGAATGAAACCTATAGAAACCATTTTACCAAAATGATTAAGTGATTGTGAGAAAGTTTCAATAATAAATAATTGCTGATAGGCTACAGACAGGGGTCAAGTCTGAGGATGACTTTAGTTCCTGCACTCATCCTTTTCTCTTGTTTTTGCTTCACCTTTAAAAATTCTGTTAAAATGTTCTCTATTTTTAGAGTTCCACTACAGCCTCTCTTCTGTAAAAGGGAAAACTTTTCACTCTCCCATTAGAGTTTTAAAAAATGATTTATTGGTGGCAATAGATCTCTGCTATGGCCGGCCATTCAGATGAGAGAATAACCATTTTCAAAGAGAGGAATTTCTTTACCAATTACTATAGGTTAATAAATAAGGTAGTATTTCTAAGAAAATTAAAATGTTTGCATAACTGACTAGACCATGTGCTATATCTGACTGGACCCTCTCAGTGGTCCTTAATTTTTGGAAAAGCTGAACTCTAGCAGTGTTTATCAGACACCAAGAACACCCAGTATTGTGGCAGCTACCCAAAGATGTAGTATCTATGGTGGAAGTTATCAGCCTTTATAGGGTTGAACTCATAAAATAAAAAACCCAAATCATTCAGGATTTAATTTAATCATTAGATTGGATTAAGTAGTTGAACAAAAATCAGCATTGAAGATCTGAAATGGTCTCGAGAAAGGAATCCATGTCATAAAAGGACAGTAGGTTGGAATTGGCAATGAGCACATCCTCCTGCATCTTCATGCATGCTTGGTAAAGTTATGGAGAAAGTCACTCATACTGTGATGTGTTCCTCTTTAGGAATAGTTTGTCTACAGTCTGCTGCCACATCTAAAGAAGGTCAGTGGGTACGAATCCTACGCTGGCATCACTTGACCATATACCTCTTCTATGGTCTGTGTGGAGTGGTCAACATCTTATGTTTCACCATCACTTCACTTCCAGTTTCCTTAACCAAGTTAATGCTGTCAAATGCATTCTTTGCGGATGGTAAGTATGAGTAACTATGTTTTCTTTACCATTCTCTATTATTAGTGGTATTTGTGTAGCCCTGTATAACAATGTATCTTTGGTATTTAAGTGTAGCCTTGATTGATAGGGCCATAAATCAGGACCATAGTTTGATGTTTGGGTGGTGTCCTAGGTAGAATGCCAAAGATTTTCCTTCCTTATTGACTTATTTACTAGAACTGGGCAAGCACAATCATTCAATGTGCTTTGTTCACATTTCACATCTGTCTTAAAGAATCACCTACCTTGGTTAATTACCTCTTGGTTGTACTGGTAGTACAACCAATGAAAATTGATTTCTGAGTAATAGAGCATGAAAATCCTGAAATGGGGCAACCATTCACAGCACCATCTACTAACTAGCTTTCAGAATACTTATATAGTAAAACTCTGCCAATACATGATAAGTAGGGTTCAAAGAATTCAGTCATATAAAAATATGAGGTCATAATTTTGAGAGGTTAATGAAAAAAAGCAGTATGTTTTGTTCAGTTGGTTTCCCAGGTTGTTGTGCGGGGGGGGAAAAAGAAAACAAGTGATTAATATTTTGTTTTAATTTATCACACGTGTAAGAAATAGACTATTTATAGAACCATAAAAGTCCTAAACAATCAGAGGCAGTCACTTCCTACCTGCTCCCTTTGTCTCCTACATCTGAAGATAAGAACATTTTTGAACACAGGGCTAGACAGAAGGCAGCACAACTCTCATTATCTCAGGGTGTTACTATACTTTTAATGAACATCTTTTCCTCTTTATCTAAATGAAAATGATTAAGATGAAGCTGGAAACTGCTTATGAAATGAAAAATGAAGTTAGTTACTTCTCAGAATTTCCAGATAACATTGTCATACCAATCAAGGTTCACCCTGATGTTTTATGTATGTGTTCATTTCCTCCAATGGACTGAACTCCTTAAGGCAAGGGTGTAGCTTCAGCTTACTCGTCTGTATGCTCATGTTAATTATAGATCCCCACCCTTCTCATGGTAATTACTCACCATCTTGCATAGGCAGTGCTTTGAAATGTAGTTAGTTCAACATTTCATAGTTTGTTAGAGGAGAGAATAAAAGCTGGAAAGGAAAAAGGAGGGGTGATTTCAAGGATTCAATTCTAAAGAGACAGTGATGACCCCCCAAAATGCTAAGGTGCACTACTGTGGGAACCAGGGGGGACTTGCTCTTTTAGGCAATTGTGTGTGTGTGTGTGTGTGTGTGTGTGTAAACTTCTGTGTACAGAGAGAGGGGCAGAGAGAAGCAGTGGGAAGTTTTTGGATGCAATAAAAAAGACAAACTGTTTTTCCCCCCTCCATTAGCTTTTACCTTGTACAACCACACTCATGGTCGGGAAATGGTGGATATCTTTGTGCACCAGCTGCTGACCTTTGCCACCATTTTGGCAGGCCTAGTTGCTTTCATAGAGTTCCTCACAAGGAGCAAAGTAACTCTAGTGCTGCTGCGGTCAAGCCTCATCATGCTACAGGGGAGCTGGCTTTGGCAGGTGAGTTGGGGCCTCCAGGTACTTTATCTGTGTCTCCTTAGAATAAAGAATAAGCTTTTATTCTTATTTGGTGGAGCACTTTGCTGTAAATCTCACATTCCTTGTGATGTGCTGCCTGCATTGACATAGTGGACCTCTGAGAAGAGATGTTTCTTTGACTGCTCAGTGGCCCTGGTTGGGGCATTACTAGAACAGATGGGCAGGAAACAAGGTGTGTCCATCTTCATTACAACCTGATTTCCATTATGTAAGAACTTTTAACTAATGCTTTTAGTCAGAAGAGTTTCTTGATGTTAAAGTACTTTACAGCCTAATGGGTAGTAACTTTGAGAAATAGGCAGGAAATGGAAGAGAATATTATTTATTGAGAAATAACTATATGATGGCAATTATACTGCATTTTATGCACACTTTATTTATTCTGTCCTCCTAATTTAGAAGCTATGCATTATCATCTCTAAATTATTGATGGGAAAATTCAGAGAGACCAAGTTATTTTCTTAGGCTTACATGGTAATGGAGCTAGGATCTAAATCTGGACTTGTTTGACTAAATACCAGGCTCTTCCCATTTTATGACATTGACTCCCTAACCTTGGTGTGTGGTTGAAAGTGTGAAGAGACTGATGAATTACAATCTTATATACATATATAAAATATAAAATAAAGAAAGTTTGAGATGGGAGCAGAGTGGGGATTAATTCAGGAATACTCCTTAAAGGATATTTTTAGTTATCAGAGAGCAGGAATTTGGGGATATGAGGTTGTTTCAGTGATTTACATTTCACAGAAAGCATTGGTAGGTAAGGGAGAGGGAAATATGGTCAAAATGGTAGGAAACATGATATTTAAACACGTGAGGAAATAGAAAGGCTATTAGAGCGGACACTAGTATGGAGGGTGTAGCTTCATGGGTTATTTTAAAGGGAATATTTTATTGAAAAATACCCTACAGTGTAATAAAATAAAACTGACAATTGGTAACTTTAACCTGTTAATATAAAGAAGTTTTCTTAGATTATTTATTGTCTAAGTATATAGACTGATATATAAAATACTATTATGGACTCTATACCTGTTGATTGAAATGTTTTACTATGTGCATGTACCTTATATTGAAAAAGAAAATATAATTTAAAAATTCTTGAAGAGACAATTCCTGGTCAAGATGATACATTGAACTTCATTGTATATTATCTGCTCCAAACATATAACATTGACAGTTTGATAGAGAAAACCCCTAGAAAATAAAAAAATTAAAAAGAAAAGCATAGCTGGGTGCAGTAACTCAACTTGTAGTCTTAGCTACTTGAGAAGCAGAGATAGGGAAGATTATGATTAAGGCCAATCTGGGCAAGAAAGTTTGAGAGACTCCACTTCAGTCAAGAGCTGGGTGTGATGGTACAGCTATGGTAGGTAGCAAAAATAGGAGAATCAATGTCCAGGCTGGCCTGGGAAAGAAATGAGATCAATCTAAAACAACCAGGAGGGAAAAAAGGGCTGAAAGCCTGGCTCAAGTGGTAGAGTGCCTGCCTAGCAAGCGTGGAGCCCTGAGTTCAAACCCCAGTGCCCCCCCAAAGCATAAATTAAAAAATCAAGACAGTAAAAAAAAATCTAAGTACAATCAAAACAAAATAAACAAAAGATAGGGCAAAACACTTTGAGGGCCAGATGCAGAACAAAAGTGCACAGCGAGAATAGAGCTGAGCTATGGGTCTGAGTGTTTCATGTCCAGAGCAGACAGTGATAAATGGCTGTAGGAGAGTGATACCATGCTCTAGGGACTCTTTGTTGTTTGTATATTCTATGTCCCTAATTGGTTTTCATCTTATTGACCTCTCATTTTCTAAAATAAGTCTGCAAATGTCTCATGTTATTCATCCATTTCTAATTTTCACATTTTCCTTTGTTATAAGGCTGTCTTTCATGTCTCTTTTTCTAGTTTTTTGAGTTGGATACCGATCTCACATATTATCAGTTTTTCTTATGCTAAAATTGATACACTTAAGGCTCTAAATTTCCCACCATATACTGCCATAACTTGCATTTTGGTGACTTTTAATGTTACCATTTTCAATGTACTTTCCTATTTAAATTATGAGTTATTTAGGACTGCCTCTGTGTGTGTGTGTGTGTGTGTGTGTGTGTGTGTGTGTGTGTTTATGGTGGTGAAGATCAAAGCCAAGGACTTGATGAATGCTATGTAAACTCCCTACAATTGAGTTATTTTTTTATTTTTATATTTTTATTTTATTGTTTTTGCACTTACTCACTTGTGTATACATTGTTTGTCCCTCCCCCTGCCCCTTCTTCTGGGAAGAACCTGTTCCACCCTCTTCTTCTTTGATTTTGTTGAAGAGAAAACAAGAGATAATAAGAAAGACGTGGCATTTTTGCTAGTTTAAGATAAAGATAGTTGAGATTCCTAGTGTTGCTTCCATGCACATGTGTATTGCAACCCACACTGGCTCATCTCTACCAGACCTCTTCACTAGTCCCCTTCCCACAGTGGCCTCTGCCAGTTTAAGATTACTCTATTCACTCCTCTACAGTGAGCATATCAAAGAATTTCAAGTTTTAAGTTTCCTTCCCTTTCCTTATTACTCCCATGTACGCTCTCCCCTTAGTATGTGACCCATGTCCAATAATATTACTGCATTTGTTTTAGGTCTAAAATCTGCATATGAGGGAGAATGTGATTTTTGGCCTTCTGAGCCTTGATAATTTTGCTTTAGATGATGTTCATCAGTTCCATCCATTTACTTTCAAATGGCTGAATAAAATTTCATTATGTATAAATACCACATTTTCTTAATCCATTCATTGGTAGTGGGACATCTTGGCTTGTTTCCATAGCTTGGCTATTATGAATAGTGCTGCAAGAAACATGGGTGTGCAGGTGCCTTTGTAAAAACCTGAGTTGTATTCCTTTGAGTATATCCCTAGGAGTGGTATTGCTGGACCATATGGCAGATCTATGTTTAGTTTTTTAAGAAGCTTCCATACTGTTTTCCAGAGTGGTTGCACTAGCTTGCATTCTCACCAGCAGTGTATGAAGGTTCCTTTTTCCCTGTATCCTTGCCAACATTTGTTGTTTTTGTGTTCTTGATAATAGTGATTCTAAGAGGAGTGAGGTAGAATCTTAGTGTGGTTTTGATTTGCATTTCCTTTACGGTCAGGGATGGTGAGCATTTTTTTTCATGTGCTTTTTGGCCGTTTGGACTTCTTCCTTTGAAAAAGTTCTGTTTAGTTTGGTTGACCACTTCTTTATTGGTTCATTGATTTTTGGGGAGTTCAGTTTTTGAGCTCCCTGCACATTCTGGTTATTATTCCTTTCTCTGATGTATAGCTAGCAAAGATTTTCTCCCATTCTGTGGGTGGTCTCTCCAATTTAGATACTATTTCTTTTGTGTGAAAAAGTTTTTAAATTTCATGTAGTCCCATTTGTCCATCCTTTCTCTTAGTTGCTGGGCTGCTTGAGTTCTACTAAGGAAGTCCTTGTCTATACTGTTTTCTTCCAGAGAATTTCCTGCTCTTTCCTGTACTACTTGCAAGGTTTCAGGTCTGATATTAAGGTCCTTGATCCACTTTGACTTGATATTAATACAGATGATAGGCATGGATCTAGTTTCAGTTTTCTGCAGGCAGATAACCACTTTTCCCACCAACATTTGTTGATGAGGTATCTTTTCTCCTATAGTATGTTTTTGGCGACTTTGTCAAAAATAAGTTGGGTGGAGTTGCATGGATTCATATCCAGGTCCTCTGTTCTGTTGCACTGATCTTCATATCTGTTTTTGTGTCAGTACCATACTGTTTTTATTGTTATGGTTCTGTAGTATAGTTTGATATCAGGCATTGTGATACCTCCAGGGTTGCTCTTTTTTGCTCAGTATTGCCTTGGCTATTTGCAGTCTTTTGTGCTTCCAAATGAACTTTAGGGTTGATTTTTCAATCTCTGTGATGAATGTCATTGGGATTTTGATGGGAATTGTGTTGAACATGTAGATTGCTTTTGGTAGTATAGCCATTTTTATTATGTTTATTCTGCCAATTCATGAGTATGGGAGATCTTTCTACCTTTTGTAGTCTTCTTTGATTTCTTTCTTCAGTGGTTTGTAGTTCTCCTTGTAGAGGACATTTACATCCTTTGTCAAGTTTATCCCTAGGTATTTGATTTTTTTTTTGAGGCTATTATAAATGGACTTATTTTCCTATATTCTTTCTCAGTTTGTTCATTGTTGGTATATAGAAAGACCACTAATTTTTGTCAGTTGAGTTTGTATCCTGGTACATTGCTAAACCTGTTTATGGTGTCTAGGAGTTTTTGGGTCTTTGAGTATAGGATCATGTCATCTGCAAATAGGGATGCTTTGACTATTTCTTACCTATTTGCATTCCTTTTATTTCTCCTTCTTGCCTTATTGCTCTGGCTAGGAATTCTAGGACTATGTTGAATAGGAGTGGGGAGAGTGGGCCCCCTTTCTAATTCCTGACTTAGGGGAAATGGTTTCAGTTTTTCACCATTAAGTATGATGTTGGCTATAGGTTTGTCATATATATCCTTTATAATGTTGAGATACTTTCCTTCTATTTCTAGTTTTCTTAGAGATTTTATCATAAAATGATGTTGAATCTTATCAAAGGCTTTTCCTGCATCTATTGAGATAATCAAATGGTTTTTGTCTTTGCTTCTATTAATGTGCTGTATTACATTTATTGATTTGCATATGTTGAACCATCCCTGCATCCTTGGGATGAAGTCGACTTGGTCATGGTGAATGATCTTTCTGATATGTTGTTGGATTCAGTTTGCCATTATTTTATTGAAGATTTTTGCACTGATGTTCACTAAGGAGATTGGCCTGTAGTTCTCCCTTTTGAATGTGTTCTTGTCCAGTTTTAGGATGAGTGCAATACATTGGTTTCAGAGAATAAGTTAAGCAGTGTTCCATCCCTTTCTATTTTGTAGAAAAGCTTAAGGAGTGTTTGATATTAGTTCTTCTTTAAAGGTCTGGT